GCCAGCCTTCAGGAAGCCAGCCAGGATCAATGTCTTCAACCACAAATCCTTGGTCGCCAATCGACTCATTTGGAGGCGGTGCTGGTGTTGGTGGTTGTGGTGCTTCATATGGTTGGCTGTGTTGATGATGGCGGTTTCGCCATGGTGCGAAGCTGATTGTCTCTTGTCTGCTGAACCTCAGTCGTTGCTGTTGGAAGGTCTCTGGTCCAGCTGTTTCATATAGTGCTGCCGTGGTAGGATCAAGTGTTGGCTGTGACTTTGCTGAGTGTGGTGTTGGCGCAGCTGTGGGTATTGCAGGCTCTTCACTGGGCTCGGAGAGGGAAATCCCTGACAGGGGCGAGATATCACCTTCTGGAATGGGAATCTGTGCGCCGTCAGGTTGGTCCTCTGTCTCGGCGGGTGCCGCTGGGGATGCCTGAGCTTCGGCGGCTGGTGCCTCTGGTGCCGGGTCTGGGGAGTCTTCAGGAGGTGCCGGTGACACTGACAAACGAGGTCGCTGTCGTGGGGGAGCCATTTCATGATCACTGTCGGACTCCAAGTTGTCACTGGTGCCATGTTCATCATCTTCAACATCAGCCAGGTGCTGTCGATTGAGCCGATGCAGGTCATAGTACCTGGTGACTCCACGGGATCGCAGCTGGCGAGCTGTGTTGAGGGCAAGTTGTGTGTCATCAAGTGCATGGTCCATGCCCTTGACGTCGGCCCTGATGTGATGTGGTGCACATCTGATCAGCTGCGTCTTGAAGGCGAGCCAGTAGACGGAGACCTGTGGCGTGTCAGTGTCCTGGTGATATTCCTTCATCACCACATGTGCAGGACCAAGCCATCTGATCTTGACCAAGTCAGGCTGTCGTGCATCACGCCAGAACCAAACACGCTGTCCCAGACTGTATTCGGCATTGGTTCCCTTGTACTTCATTTGGAGAGCTCGTCGAAGGCGGCGATCAGCATCGGCGTCCAGCAATGCCTTCTTGGCACTATGCCGCTTGTTGAGCATGTCCTCAAAAGAGGCGTTGCCACCAAAGTGTGAAGGGTGCACGGCATCGGACAGAAGATCGCCGGCAAGGCTAGGTTGATAGCCGAGAACCCATTGTGAAGGGCTGAATCCAGCAACCATCGGAGTGGCATTGAGCTGTGGCACAACGAAGGTGAGCGCCTCTTTGATGCCTTCAACATGATCAACCTTCACATCGTCGAGGTAGATCTCAACAGCTTTGCGGATCAAGGCATGGCGTCGTTCGACGATGGCGAGGCGTTCATGAGCTTCACCTGGTGCCACTTTATGTTGTAGACCGTGAGCTGTGGTCCATTCATCCATGATGCCGCTGAGCCAAGGTCGGCCTTCATCTGTCAGAAGCTGGCCAGGAACACCAAAGTGTGCAATCCAGAAGCGCTCAAGGGCCTTGATGTACTCCTCGGACCGCTCGGATCGAAGGAGGCAAGCAGCAGTATAGCGAGTGGCCATGTCAACAATGCTCATGATGGCATACTTTGTGGAGCCCCTTCGAATCCAAAATACATCGGCCTGGACAATCTCATTGAAGTTCTGTGCCTTCTTCTGGGTAGCAGCAGGTGCAGCATCGCCAGGCTTCTTATACTTGGCGCAGGCCAAACACTTGTAGCTTTGAGCAGCTTGCAGGATCGCTTCCGAAGCACCTCGGGAGGACAGCAACTCAGTCAAAGTGGTCGGTGAAGGATGTCCCAAATTGCGATGAAGGCGCTGAACCACTCTGATTGCTTCCTGCTTCGTTTCCGCGCTCAATTTCACTAGAGCGCCTGTCAGCTCTTTCTCCTCGGCGGCGAAGGCATAGTCCACGGTGTAGTGAGCATGCTCCCACAGTGTTGCAGGCTCATCAATGCTCAAAGCTCCAGCAAGACTTGTCGCCAACCCAGGTTGAAAATCCTCCATGTAGCGGGTGCGAGAGCCAAGACCATGTGCAGAGCCTTCGAGGCGACAATGCTGGTGATCGTGGAGACATTGGAGACACATGGTTTCCTGCACAGCCTTCTTGGTGGTGAGGATCCGAGTGTTCTTGAGAACAGGTCGCCATTGTTTGTCCTCATCAAGGCACTGAGCTCCATACCGACATTGAGAGAAATCGGTCAGTCGGCCAGGTAGGTCACGAAGTGCTCGAGTTTGCCATGACTTGGCATCGCGAGGCTGCTCAATGTGAGCATGTCTTCCTCCCTTGACCTGTCGAAGATAGGCCTCGCGGACAAAGCACAGATGTCGGTCATGATGCCATTGGCGAGCAGCAACGAGAGCTTCCTGCTGGTGTGACGTTCTCCGGCCAAGTGACTGCATGCGAGACCATAGCTTGCAGACCGGAGTGAGCAGAAGTTCTTCTGGCATCTCGTCATCGAGGAGGTCTAAGAACTGCTGTTGGTGGTCGAGGATGTCGAAGTTCCAGCCAGTGTCCAGGGAGAACTGCCTGGTTTCCATGCCAAAGACTGCTGCCATCTCAGAAGTGCGGGCCTTGCCACAGTATACTTCCCATAGGACCCTTGGTCTTGGTGGTCGATGCAACTCCTGAGTGAGGTAGGCAGACATGTCGTTGATGTGGGTGGTGAGGTGCACATCCATGGTTTTCAGCAGTTGACCCTTGATTCGGTTGGTCTGGTCATCCTTTGTCACATGTCCATCGTGGACTTGGAAAGTCTGCTCTTCCTTGACAAAGTCAGGGAGGTAGAAGCCATCCCGTTGGTGTATATCAGGATCATTGGTCTTCAGTTCAAACTGTGGCTTGCGGGGGTCGTACTCAATCAAGTCGTGCTCGAAAGTGAGGGGCCACAGATACTCTCCCTGTCGACCAAGCGTGGCCGGTTGCCAAGGTGATCCGCCAATCTTGAGCTTCTTGTTGGCGAAGTCCATTGTCATGCCCAAGGCTTCGATGATGGGTCTTCCACAAAGCAAGGGCGTGTTGCCCGGCAGCAAGAACACTTCAACTGTTCCGTACTTGCCATCAACGAAGACCGGAAGGTGTGTGCTCCAGTCGGACCATTGTGAGGCGTCTCCACCGAACTGAAATCGTCTCCGGCCTTTTGTCATCTTGATGAGGTCGGTGGGATAGCCAAGGTCCTCATAGTGCTCCAGCAGCTTGCGAAAAGGGCCATAGCCTGAAAGGAATGCACTTGCACCAGGATCCAGCATAGCGCAGTCAGGTCGCTCCAAGCCGTTGGCGTCTTGGAAGGTGAGGAGAGCAAGTTCCTCGGGTTGAGCTGCAAATGCCATGCCTTCCGTAGGAGCGGGCCTCTTCGTTCCAGCCTTTGAAGCTGAGCTGCTTGAACCTTGTGGGCAGTTGGCCGCCCAATGACCAGGTTGGCCACACCTCAGACAAGTGAGTGCTGCACGAGCTCTTCCTTTGGGATCTGCTTTGCCAGCACCTTGAGGTGGGTAGCGAATTGTCGTCTTGGCTTTGGACTTGCCAGACTTGGTGCCTCCCTTCCCCTTCCCTTTTCAGCGCCAAGAGGAAGGTGATGATGTAGCATTGGATGCGGGAGACACAGGAGCTTGTGAACCATCGGTCAAAGCTACCACTGGAAGATATCCTCTGGCCATCTTCAGCTCTTGGAACCTTTTCCGAGCATCTGTGTACGAGGCAAAGGCGTGGTCGTACTCTTCAGCCATGTGTTGAGGGCTGACAGGCTCGGCATCGGGATCAGGCCATTGTTCTTCACCATAGTAGCCTGCTTCATTGTCAAATTCGTCGGGCTCCTCATGCTCGTAGTCATAGTCCTCGTAGGAGGCGTAGGTGAGTTCTTCAGTCCAATCACCTTCATAGTAACCTGACTCCCATGGCTCTTCATCATCATAGTCATCGGCCAGGTAGGCACGGTTGTTGCGCCATGGTGCAAAGCCAAATCGCTTGCGCTCCATCGGCCAGGTTCCTCCCTTGTAGTCTTGACCGAGCAGCAAGTAGAGGGCCTCTATCACATCTTTCTTCTCCAAACTCGGGGCCTTCAGCGTCACCATCTGTCGTTGCTCCTTGGAGATGGAGGCACGTCGCAACAAGTGCCAGCCCTGAACTGAGGCCGGAAGTTCGACCTTGTGTTGTTGGAGCTTCCTGTAAGCCTCTTCGTGGTCGGCCACGAACATCAACAGAGTCTGGCCGCTTGTACGTTGGAGCAGGTTGAAGTAGCCCTCAAAGTCGTTGGGCAACTGAACTCGAGCATCGTATTGGAAGTTCGCGTCCAACGTAGCAATGATGCGGTCGAAGGATGACTCCTTCTCCAGCTCCTCGAGGCTCCAGTCCTGGAAAAGTCGCCAGGTGACTCCTTGGAAGGATCCAATGATGTTCAGGACGGACTCATTGCCTCTCTTGGTGAGCATCATCTTGCGATGATAGAGATGGATCCGCTGGCGCCATTCTTTGTAGTCGGCCGGTTGGCCTGAGAAGGTGGGAACATAGCTATCCCTCAGGTCTGTGTAGCTTCCTCCACCATCTCGTGAGCCGGAGGGTGCCTGGGTCTCAGTCTTCTTCGGAGGCGGCATGGTAGGATAGAGCTCTTCAATCACCTGCTTGGTGGCTGGGGTGTTCAGGTAGCCGGTGCACGAAACCAAGCAAAGGTGGAGGCAAACACAAAGAGCTCTTCGAACCGTCCGTGACCCTGGTCTTATCCCGGACCTTCGGCTCGTCGTCGCGAAGTGCGCAGCGGAGCCCCTTCACAGGGCTCCGCTACCAATGGAGAAAAAGCGGTCAGGCAAACGAAGTCCCGAACCAAGTGCAAGCGAGGTCGAAGCGGAACGAATCCGCAAACACGCGCCGGTTTTCCTCAAGCTTTGAGCCCACCCAGCTAAGGGCGGTACGAGTTGGTTCAAACCTGATCGCTCAGCGAGCGATTCACACAATATGTAAATCAACCTAGTAGCTTCTTGTTCCTAGTAGTAGCGATGCCCTTTGCTTTTAGTAGCTTCTTGTTCCTAGTAGAACTACTTCGTTTAAATCAATATGTAAGAGGGAGAGGAGAAGTGCCCGGTGGAATGGCTAGGAGCAGCAAAGGTACACTCGGGCCTTTCAGCGCGCTTTGCTGACGGCTGTCAAGTGCGACTTGGCTGAATAAATCTTCCGTAGTTTGGAAGACTCAGGCTCCTCCCACATCAATCAACCAACCAACCAACCAATCAATCAATCAAACAATCAATCAATCAATCAACCAACCAACCAATCAATCAATCAATCAATCAATCAATCAATCAATCTAGATTCATTGTCAATGTGATATTGATGAAGATTTGAAGCCATATTCCAGGGGCATCATAGGAGTCCTTTTCTTTGGCTGTTGTACTGACCTTGAGCAGGTGGTCGCGACAAGACCCATCCGATCCCAGGCCTCTCCGGCCAGGAGAGGTGGCGCTGAAATCTGGAAGTAGTTTCTGTGCTGCAAAAAATCCAAATGGGTTGCTCATCGATTTGGAGAAGCATCACTACTTGATGCCAAACTACTTATTGCTCGAACAGACCGACCCTTTTTCCAAGACTTGATCGCATAATCAAACATAAGCAAAGCGGGATCTGAAGTTGTGACATTACCTTCCCCTATATCATTTAACTTGCATTTTTTGCTTATCATCCATGAGACTCAGGTGCCTATTACCTTCTTGGCTGCTCAGCAGCATTGGCTTGAAGAGTGTTTCTGAACGTCGTGTATCTTATTTTCAAAATCAGGGGGCCACAGCCATGCCCTATCATAAAGGAAGCAGAGAAAGACCAGATAACGTAGTGCGTAGATCACACCTGTGTTGATGCACAGGTTCATTCTGCGATCAACTCATCTTCCTCCGTGACACCGGACTGCAGACCTGTCTTTGCAGAGCTCCCCTGAGAGCGGCCTTCTGCCAGGTGCCAGATGTCACATTGCCTGTGCGTTCTTTGTTCGAAGACTTGATTTCCATTGATGTTCCTCGTGTCTTTCGAAGGTTCACCAATACAAGACAATACTCTGTATATATGTATTTCTATAATATAGCATTAAGATATTATCACGAAAGCCAGCCGATAGGCTAGGCTTGAGCTCTTAGGGCGAACGAAGTGAGTTAAGGGGGTGTGGGGGGGCAGGCCGCGAAAAGGCACCATTTGAGAGCGGAGCTTGCTGGGGGAGAGCGCTCCAAAGCGAGGGTCTGAAAAGCAGCGAAAATGGAGTCTGGTGATGCGAGTGATGCAATGGACGCCGAGTAGTGCATCATTCGCATCATGAAGGGGTCTGGAGACAATTTTTCCAGTCCTGAGCAGGGCATAGGGACTGTGTAGCTCTGATCATACCAAGAAGGACCAAGCAACAAAGAGTGAACGCTCTGGGAGTGAACGATGTGAGTATGTCCAGTTGGGCAAGGTAGCGGCTTGGGGATAAGAGCGCCGCGCAAGAAAACTGCAAGCGTTCAACGCTTCATGCTGTGCTCCGATCTTGATCTCAGTCGCAGTGATACCAGCTCCACGAAACTACAAGCTTTCAACTATAGGTGCTCTGCTATTTTTTCCTCCCAGCCCTGCTCTCTTTTGGGCTTCGCGTTGATGCACGATACCCCAAAACACACTTCAAAACCACAAAAACCATTTCGGGCATCATTCTCCTGGTGTTCACTGACGTTTATTTTTGCACGGATTCTCACCTAGAACACCAACAAGGGACGCTCCAGAAGGCGCTGACCAAGCAAATCAAGAATACTAAAAACATTCAACACTTCATGCTGTTCTCCGATCTTCATCTACGTCGCAGTGATACCAGCTCCACGAAAACTACAACCATTCAAGAATGAGTGCTCTCCTCTGTTTTTCTCCTAGCCCTGCTCTTTATAGGGCTTCGCATTGATGCACGATGCCCGAAACACATTTGAAAACAACCAAGACCCACCTTTCGGGCATCCTTCTCCTGGTCTTCACTGACGTTTACTTTTTCCCGGATTCTCAAATAGACCACCAAACAGGGACGCTCCAGAGAGCACCGCGCCAGGAAAATCGAGAAAGCCTAAAACATTCAACACTTCACGCTGTGCTCCGATCTTGATCTACTCCACGTTGATACAAGCTCCACGAAAGCTACAGGCATTCAACAATAAGTGCTCCGCTGTTTTTTTGCTCCCAGTCTTGCACTACCATAAGTCTCTCGCTGGCTTTCGTCCTCTCCTTTATATGCACTCGTAAGGTACGTCGAAAGAATGTGCCTCATGCTTGCAGCGGTGGCTCACAAAGAGTGTGTGGGCCAGGCATCGGCGTGGAGGCCAATTGCCTAAAACGGCTGTTGGACCTTGGATGGCAGAAGAGCGCGCTTGCGTTCTTCGATGAGATGCCCAAGGAGGAGGTGATCGGTCTACTTCCATGAATTGCAGAGCATTGGACGGAAGAAGAACATGTGACATAGGACTTTGCTCAGGGAGGCCAAGAGGCAGCGCATCAAGTTCGACCTGGAGGACCACACGTTCTTGCTCCACCAAAGGTTGTTGTTTAAGGACAGGTCCTTTATTGACCGGAAGCTGGAGGGCATCACTTTTGGAGAAGCGCGTGGTGGGATCTCTGTGGGCGTCGCCAGGAAAACCTTGGCGTACGGTGCTCGATGGTTGCGCCGTGAGGGGGATTTGATCGCCTACATCTCCTTGAGAATGGAGGCGCCATGCATGTGGCAAGTCGGTCCCCGGTTCGCTTTTCAAAGCCATCGCATTCCTCGAGTTGTCCGCTGAGGTACCAGCCGAACGTGGGATTTCTTCATCGCTTGCACTACACCATTTTCTCATGGAAACAGAATCAAAGCGGCGGGTGAAGGGGCTGGAGGAGGCGGTCATCGATGTGAGCTTAGCAGAACTTCAAGAGAGTCTTCGCATGGCGTAAGCTCATCAAGCTTTGGGGTGCGCTCCGATGTCGCGACAGCGAAGGGGTGCCGCCTTCCTCCCTGAAGCTCGATCCGTTGGTTGGATTGGAGAAGTTGTTCATTTTCACGTCTCTCGTGAATGCTGGTTGGGGCATGAACAGTGGCTGCAAGTCGGCTTGAAGCTTTACGCGAGCATGGCAAGAAGGGCAGGCCACCTGGACCAGGACTTCCTCATGCTCGTGGGTGACGGCGACCTCAATGGCTTTCGCAAGAGGATGAATGATGAAGTACCCGGACGCCATGTCGTTTTCGAGGGCGTTCTGGGCAGAGCGTCTCCGATCAAGGATCAGCGGGGCAGGCCTTATCCACTGCGCGCTGAGGTCTGACTGGCCGCCTCTCCTTCAGCTCCCGCCTGGAGCACCTCCGCAGGTCGAGCAAAGGCGCTCTCCTTGGGCCGCGTCCAGCTCGGGCCTCACCATCTCTACGATCACGTATTCCTTGAAACGCACTCCAGGAATTCGATGACAACCTCCAGAGACGTGCAAGGTGCGCCTCTTGCCTCTGCCAACAATGGCCAGTACATATATGTTCCCAATGGGTACTCGGCCTCAACCTCGTCCTCGAAGACCTCCGTGGGCGAACCGATGAGGTTGTCCATTCCCGTAGGCGGAGAAGACGGTGGGGGCTCGCACTCTTGCTTCTCGCCCGAAGTGCTCGTCAAATTCACCACCGCGGCGCTCCCCAATGTGGTGGCCCAATGCGCTGCCCCTCCAAGTTCGCATCAGTCGCCATCTTCTTGCACAGCTCCTGGAGCCAGATAGTGAAGTTATTCACCCTGCCCTTGTCATCAACAACGTCCAAGGTGCTGCGCTGAGGGCGAATCCTGCCCGCCATATCCTTCTGGGCCTCGTGGATCATGGCCCACGCCTCGTCCTTGACCGATGTGGACAGCGAAGGGGCCAGAGAGCCTTGACCAGGCGTGAGCTTGCGCGGAAACATCTTGGAGGGGCGTGGATGGGGGGCCTAGCCCAACCAGGGTTTTCGTCTTCATCTTCGTCGTCTCTTTCCAACCACCCTTTGTGTTTGTTCTAGGTCGGATTCGGAATCTCCTTGGAGAGGAGTCTGCCGGAGTGCAGTGGGGGCGGCCTGGAGGGCCTGGAGGCCGAGAGGGCCATTTCGAGCCATGGCAGTCTTAGGCCAGGATAGGGGGACCTCCAGCAGCTCTAGGAAAACGACGAGGCCTAGCATGTTTCGGTGGCAACGCTCCCCACTGCTAAAGATGACGCCATCATCTGCAAACAGACCGACTCGGGCTCGAGGATCCTATGAAAGAGCCTGAAAACCAAGCCTGCTGCCCCGCCAGAAGGCGGCCGAAGCCACCCCTTCAGGAGCACTTGCAAACCCCAATCTGAACCGTGCAACCTATGCGCGGCCTTGATATCGAACGCCATCATCAGCTTCGACGGCATAGCATGGCCCCTGAAGGCCTTCACCATGACCTCCAAGTCGTCGAACTGGGGGAAGGCCAACGCGGGTGTTAACCCTCAGCCATGGGTTGCATCACGCACCACCCTCGCGTCGCTCCAATCCTTGTCCTTTGGACCGCCGGCAGGGAGGTCCTCTCCATAGCGATCCAGCGCCTCCTGCCGAGACATCTTCACCGCCCAACCCTTCTGCAAGTCCTCCTCAACCCTTCTGCAAGTCCTCCTCAACGTGGCGCTTGACCTTATGCGATCTTTCGCCGAGGCGTAGTTGTGCCGGATCACCGGGTCATCAGCCATGTCCTCCTCCCATCTAGACGGACCGGGGTCCCCCGTCTTCTTTTGGCCGCCTGAACGCATGCGATCCCTCCTCGAATGCCCAGCGGGACCCCTGTAGAGGCAACGTCGGTCAAGACCTTGTAGTCAGCATCCAGGAAGTCGTCCACCGCCTCCCAAAACGCACCGGCCACCTTCCGCGGCTTCTTCAAGCCTGGAGCCCCAATGGCCCAGGGAGGGCCACCACATACATCATCTCGGCATTCTTGACCGTCTCCGCCCGCACCGGTGTGATGTTGATGGCACCCTTCATGAAGGCCTTGTTCGTCCAGCCTCCTGATCTTGTTTGTTCATGGCGCCAGCTTCACTGCCCAGCCCTCTTTCATTGGGTCGAGAGAAGTCCCCCTTTAGAAGAGCCTGAAGGTGGTTTGCCGCGGGGGGGGTATGCGGCCGCGGCAGTCGAAGCAAACCCGGCCCCAGGAGCCCGCTTGATGAGGCCTACGTGAGGATGTCCACAGCCGCATTCTCGAGGTAGTGGAAGTGGTGATCAAAACTGTGCAAACCTAGCCGAACGTGAGAGCACAAAGCCTCAATGGTGAACAGGAGACGCGTTTGAGAAGGCGCCCCCATTCGACACTGAAAGAATGCCCCCGAAAAATGTGAGTCCTTCATTGACCCATCTGCGTATTGGAAGCAGTTGCCAGATGGATGCCGGACGTGAGTGAGGTCCCCAGCGCTGAGTAGCTCCTAAGTCCTCGGGGTGCTCAAGCGCAAAATGAATCGATTGGCCAAATGGTGATGACTTACAGACAAAGCTGGATCATCAAGTTGCTGCCCTCTACTTTCTTCAGCTTGCGGCCCTCCAGCCAAGGAAAACCCCATGGATAGATTGCGGAGCGCAAGGGCTTCGGACCCAATCAGTTAGCCCAAGGCGCCCTGGACCAAGTAGCACATGGGGGGCTCATGATCACTGCAGAGTAGAAATTGTTGCGAAGCTTGTCCAAGATCTCTTGTTGCAAGGGCTCCTGAAGTGATGCTTTCTGCGCCTCCGCCTCTGCGTCCAGTTCGTCCCTGACCATCACCCTCTTCTTTGCCGACTGCCAAGCCTGCAGGAACAGAGTCGCGAACTTCACCGCATCGGTCGGCCTGAGGTCAATGCCGATTCCCAACCTGGCTTTTGCCAGTGTCTCTAAGGTGCCACGATCTGTCGCGACCGCCGATAGCATTGACAAGCTGTTGATGCCCATGTCGTATAAGTGGGCTTGCATCGAGGCAGGTCGTTGGTGGAGTGGATAGGCTATACCGTCGACGTACAAAGCTGGCAGATTGGCGTCAGCAAGAAGAAGGTCAACTGGTTGAGAGCATGCTCTCTCGCAGGGCAGGATGCTGGGCAGAGAGTTCAAGGCCCGTTTGGGACGGATGGGATTCCTGGCTGAGATCTCGAAGAGGGCGCGACCGTTTCTTGCCCCCCTCTCAATGCAGCTTCTGCTTATGTGAAGTGGGGGACTTTCTTTGAGCTGCGCCTGGCAACGAAGCTGGCCATAAAGTTCTTCGAGGGCACGGTGACATCGGAGCCGATGGGGCCTTTATCGGAGCCGCCGGCAGTGCTTGGGCAGATTTTCAGAGTGGATGCCATGGCGGACACTGACTGATATGGTGGCAATAGGCGGATGGGGAACTTTCGAGTCGCAAGACTCAAGGAGGCCAGGTGGTTCCACATGAAGCTCTCTTGAGCAAACCGCTCCCTTCCTCTATATGTCAAAGGGGAACCATTTCGAACGATCTCGTCGTCGGAACTCTTGGCCGTGACGGTTGCCATTATGGTCTTCGGCCCTTGCAAAGGCCAAATGGAGAAACGGCTCCGGTAGGATAGCAGTGACCGGCTTTACAACCTCGACTTGGACCTCTCTTGGATACCTCGTGAGCAAAACGAGGCCTCGGACGACTTGTCAAAAGGGAGGCGCGAGAAATTTGACATGAACAAGCGAATGGTGATAAACTTTGAAGATGTGAACTTCATTGTCCTCACCTTCTCGAAGCCGCGACGGCGTTGGATGAGGAGATCCGGGAGAAGAAGTCTTCAAAACAGAAACAGCAGAGAACAGCGGCCGATAAGACCCCGGCTGACAAGCGCCTTCGGTTGCTGCAGCCCTGGTGACTGAAGAGGATGAGGAAGGCTTTGCACTCGGCGTGCACATCCAAAATGGAGCGAAGAGCCGAGACACATGCACTCGTAAGGCACGTCGAAAGAATGTGTCTCATGCTCGCAGCGGTGGCTCACAAAGAGTCCCACCCAACCCACCCTAAGGGTGAGGAAGGCTTTGCGCTCGGCCTACACATCCAAATGGAGCGAAGAGCCGAGACACATACACGTATGATTGCCCAATGGCTGTTGTTAACTTATTTGGCGAATCTTGCTCCCTGTCTCTTGAGTTGCGTAGGATGCCCGAGTTCCTGAGCTTTATGAGCCCGCGATGCGCATATGGTTGAGCAACGACTTGAGTGCTCTGAGCTTCCCTCGACATCGGAGCATTTGGAGACCTGTCCAGATTCCTGGAAATCTTAGCTGTTATGTTGGCAACTGAACCATATAGGATACTGGAGCTGCGATAGTTGCATCGGTGATAAGAACACGTTTGTGGCCCCTAATCAAACATTTTTAAGGCAAGAGATTCTGGGCCTTTCAGGGGACCAAGGATGATTTCCTTCACAAAGACTCATTGGACCGAAGTCTTCTTTGGCTCCTTTCTTGTAACGATTTCTGAAGGAACTCTGACAATCGCTGGTGATCAGTTGCCTCGAGAGGGGGAACTTGCTGGTGGATTCCTGCAAAATAGCTCAAAGCGAAATACGAACTTGCAAAACCGAACGCAAGAACACCTGAAAAGAAGCAATGTCCACCATCAGTGTGGAAACTCTTTTTCGTGATCAGGATTGGTGGCGCAACCTACGCTGATGACTTCGTTGTTTCGGGTGCGCCGAAAGGAGCAGCCACTCTGAAGTTCCAGGTGGGGCTGCCCGTATGTGCGGCGCCTACAATCCCATGCTTTTGGCCGGTTGTAGGAGCCTTCGACATGGTACCTGCATGCCATAGCGGCAGACCTGGAAATTGAGGAGTTTCAGAGATTCTCCATCCTTCACTGGTGACTTGAGATTGTGCTTCGTTGAGTCGATTTTTGATACAGGAGAAATCTCACGTCGTGATGATCAAGAAAAACACATCGCCCCTTGGTCAGACAAATACTTTTGCTTATAAGACATACTTCGCAAAAACCTTGTGTTTTTTGTTGAGAGATGTTCAGAGCGATAAGACGTGCTTTTGTGGCTTCCCTTAGGTACAAGCTGCCATCCAACACCATCAAGGTGAGAATCCAACCGTTTGATGCTCAGCTCGGGTTTTCGGCCGAGATCAAATCACGTTGTCCATCCCCAATGCATCTTGTTAATTGTTCTCTCTCCAAAGCTACCAGGCCTTTTGGACAGTTTCACAGATATTCCCTGGCGGCAGCTGAATCCCCAAATCACACTGCAACTTTGAAGAGCCAACCTTCTGGATTGACCTGGGGAAGTTTCTGCCGTTTATAGTGTTATAGTGTGAAGCTGTGAAGCAGATAGGCGAGACCAAATCCGCCCTCAAACCGGTCAATGGGAGCTCGTTTCCTTGCAAAATTTCCCGATCTCTGAGGCTGGGACAAGAAGTGACCTTGCGGCCATGCTTCTCTGCTCGAAGAGCTCTCAGCAGTGACTTGGTGGCCAGCTTGCAGGACAGTTTGCCACCACGGGTTCAAGAAGTAGGTTGGAGGCCATTGCAAGTAGATTGGAAGCCATCGCAAGTAGCTTGGAAGCCATGGCAAGTAGGTTGGAGGCCATCGTTATTAAAGTAGGCGCAAAGCGATTGGTAGATGGCCTGGGGCAGTCATTTGGTCCCATCGTGGCATGGAACTTGGTCCCACAGGAGCAACTTCCTTGCGAGTGTGATTTTTCTCGACCCTCGGCGAAATCAGAGTGAACGCAGAGATTGGGCAAGGTGCTTCAGTGAGAACAGAAACTCCCAAGCAGTAACAAGAAGCTACCTGTAACAAAGGGCATCGCTACTAGGAGCAAGGACGCTACCTGGGCATT